TCCGGAACCGGACTCGAACCTGTGACCGAAACTGGAGGGTCCTACCACTTGTACTACCCTGGGAAGTGGATATAATGTGTGTAGTGTCTGGACTGGGGGAGATCATCAGAGCGACCAAAGCCAACAACAACCAGCAACCAACGTGAAGACTAGACCAGCATACAACACCCATGGACTGACCCCCTGGGTGGTGCGCAGGCAGTGTCTATAATAGTACCATGCGTCAGCCCAGGGGAGTGCGTGTCCAGCCGTGAGTCATTCTAACGCCCTGCCGGTGTCCATGTGCGAGGTTGCGGAGTTTTGAACCTGCAACCTCATACCACAATGCTCATTTCCAACCGGTGCTCTAACCACTGAGCTACATCATCCTTTTGGTGTGTCAATCCATTGGCATTAATTGATTGGATGTCGAGGTCTGCCTCCGCCAATTTTTTGACCTACAGGCGGTTGTTGGCGGAGCGGCGGTGGACTGGAGGGACAGTCACTGGGGCACACGGGTACCTCCCCTGTTCTGACTGTCCCTGACCCTGGCAATGAGCCTGTCCGTCGGGATGATCTGTGTGTTTGTTAGACGTGACTGCATACCCCTGGGTTACGTTGGAGGCTTTATTCTGCTGCCGCAGTCCGTGAGGAGGGGTCATCCCACATTCTGCCGCTATCAAGAGCTCCCGCCTCCAGCATGTGTTGCAGAAAGAGCACCTGGTCCTCTGTTGACCAGGTGCTGTTAGTCCACATGCGTGAGATGGGGGTGTCTAGCAGTTGTTGGTGGGATAGTCAGATCATCTGATTATCTTATGTTTCGTGCTACGGGGGCGTTCCAAAAAGGACGAGGATGGGAGCTCCTGTGGGAATACTCTCGCCATAGCCTCCTGGTCCCCTTGCTGCAGCAAGTGATTGCGCAGCATGTGTCTGGTCAGCACTTGCGGGGTGGAGCCTCGCCATCCCTGGACCGTGAGGCCCCGCGGGGTGTCTTGGACTGCCTTAAGATAGCCGTGGGCCAGTCTGGGTAGTATCTTAGTCCAACCTGCCATCCCCCCTGCCTGCCGCCGTCAGATTGGCAGAATCGCCACCCCATGCTTAGGGCCTTCTCCTTGGCTGACTTCTAATGTTGTGGATGTTGTAGCTAGGCAGTCTCTGAGGAGAACACACTTAGCTGTGTGTTTCATGCCCGTATCGTTTGTGAGGGAGAGAGTCGTAGGGCCTTTTTTTTTTTTTTTTTTTTTTTTTTTTTTTTTTTTTATAGAGAACATCGACTGCGGGTGTAGAAGGGGTGCTGATAAGAGCAGACACCCTTTCTACAGGCCCAGTTGTTGGATGGCTCCGTTCTATTGGTGGGGAGCTGCACCTGCTGGAAATCGGGTCCAGTGTCGCTTTACAACATTATACAAGAAAATGGTCAATGACTCAAGGACAAGGCAACTAGGTTGACATTGAATATTTGGCATTCCAGGATGGACTGAAAAGGTTGTTCTTGGCCCTTTATCATCTTTATGTAACACTCTAATTGAATGTTATCAGGGACACCAGGTGCTGCTCCCTACAAACAGACTGGAGTCATCTGCAGGGTTGGTAGGGGTAGGTGCTTATATCACCATCCCTATCAGTAGATGTGGATGTTATTTAAATAAAAAAAAGGCAGTTTCCATCATTAGTATGTACTAGGCCACCATCCGTTCCTCTTACCTCAATCATCATCTGGGCCTACTCTGGTCTATTTGTCAAAGTAGGAAGCAGGCTATTCGGACTTCTCTGTCAAAATCGTAATCATCGTCATCTTCTATTTTCATTACAGCAATAGTGAGCTGTCAATCTTCCACACCGATGCCATTAGGGCATCGCAAGTCAGACGTTCCTTACTTATTTTCGCAAATTTTATTTCATCGTCATCATCATCAAATTTTATTTCATCATCATCATCATCATCTACAAATCTGAATCTTTATCATCATCATCGTCATCATCACAGTTTCTTTATTCACTTTTTCATCAATCAGTAGTTATCTCTGTGTTGGTGGTTATATTCTCTTCGCCCAGATAGGTTATGGTCTAGTTGGTAGGTAGGTTGGTCAGGAAGGGAGTGCTACTCCGCAGGGGTAAGACAAGGTGGGAGGTGATTGCCCTCCAAGGAGTAGATGCAGATGATGGGAGCTGACCTGGGCTGGGGCTGGGAAATATGTATGGGGGCGCATTATCTCCTGATGGAGGCAGACTAGGTCAGAGTGTTAGTTTTGAGGTACACCTTTTGGGGAAACTGGTTACCTCAAGGTAGAAGGGAATGGGGAGGTTCTCTCTCTCGTTGGGGCTGATAGGAACTTCATGCTGATAGCGGGGTTCGGCTCAGCGGAGGCAGCGAGAGGAGAAGAGGAAATGGGGGGAGAGGAGGAGAGTACATGGAAGAAGGGGAGGGGTGGAGAGGAATAGTCATCAGCATCAGCATCATTATCCATCATTTGTGTGATCATCTCAGGGTACTCGTCAAATTTCATCATCAGAAAGTTTTGCTGATCAGGATTCTGATATGATCAGATCCTAGATTTCTAGTTGGCATTCCAGATTAGCTAATTTCCTAATTGAGTCTTTTTGTGTAATGGCCAGGTTGAGTCGGCGCCAGAATGACGCTAGCCGGCGCTGGGGCAGTGCCCTGTAACCTGCTTGAGTAGGAGCTTGAGGCTTTGTATAGAGGTCTGGGATTGCCGAGGGAGGAAGGCAATCTGCAAACTTGACTAATGGCTACAATCTGGCCGACGATGGTCGGAGTTGGGGTGGGTAGCGCTGCCCTGTAACTGAGACAGATTGGGGTGTGAGACCGGGCAGAGGCCTGATTGGTGCACAGCACGGGCTCAATTGTGATTGCTTGGTTGGAATGGATACAGGAAATTAGGGATTAAAAAAAAAAAAGGATAGGATAGTATTTGAGTGCTGATTAGACAATCCTTCTGATTGGTCATCATCTAGCTCTATTTCATGACCTCAATCATCCACTCTGACATCCTAAATCATCCTAAATGATTGTCAATCATCCCAAATTATCATAAATTATCATCAATTGTCAATCATCAATGTATTCTCATTATAAGGGACGCTGGGCCCGGTTCCCAGCACGTGATGCTCCCCACGAATAGATTGAAGAATTTTCTTAAAAAAAAAAAAAAAAAAAAAGGCTATCCCACCATTATCTATCCCTAAGACAACCCCTTCTACAAGATCCCCCCTAGGGTCCTTGGCCAGAGTAGCACTGGTCTCAGTCATTGGTAATTTGGTATGCACTGGCCAACATCCGTTTCTCCTACCTCTATCATCGACCTGTGGCCCTGGCCCCCCTCAGAGCAAGGCCCTTAGGTAACCAAGTCATGTGATCAATCTCACCGCAATATCCCTACCTGCATCCCAACTACCTCTTTGCAAATATGCTCCGCCTGGACTGATCAAATTCGAACACTCAACCTGTTTTGTACAACCTCTACCTCAAATCCACTGAGCTTCAATGACAGCTAGTCTATTCGTGCGTGGTACTAGACTGAGAGACAAGTGCGTAAACAAACATCAGAAAAGCCCATGGACTAAGAACTCCATCTTGGTGTCCTTCGGGACATCCGTTAAAATTGGAACGATACAGAGAAGATTAGCATGGCCCCTGCGCAAGGATGTCATGCATAAATCGATAAATGGTCCAAATTAAAAAAAAGAAAAAAAAGAAAAAAAAGAAAAAAGAACTCCATCTTGGCTGCCACAAGGGATAAAGACTCATAGGAGTGGAAAAAAGCCAATAGAATGCACAAATGCCTGAGGTACTGTCACCTCACAGAGTCGGCGCTAGATAGTCTGATTGAGAGTTTTCCGCTCTAGTGGTATGTCACACTTAAGAAAGGCCCCTCCCTCGAGGAGGGGGACTGGGTCGGTCTACCAGGTCATGGCACTCAGGTAGGCAGGGTACACCTAGTCAATCACGTGCAAGTGCTAATTGAGCTCTTTTCCCCCTGCAAGAACGGCCAGCTATTGGGAGCCGACTCCCGTTCATCTGG